AGTGTTCAACTGTTCCTTACATAGATGATGTGCACAATAATGGTCCATAGATTATATGCACAATGTGTAGTTTTTAGCAAAACTCTAGGCTAGATTCCCTAACTAAATTTATCTCATAAAGAAGTCTAAACCTCTTTTGAATAATTTAACATCAAACTTGAAAATAAATTTATAAAAAAAAAAAAGAAATATATTTATTTGTCCTAACAAAGGCATAGACAAACTGAAGACAATCAGTTGAACAAAAACAGGCTGTTAAAATTCACTGTGCAGTCTGTGCTGAGATTTTAGAAATTAAAAAAAAGTAGATGCATTGTTTTGTGAATTAAATCAGACAAGAGAACAAAACTTTTCTAATTCACTTTTTTCTGATCGATCTATAAAGTAAAATTATATAAAATTTCTGTGGCTTTTATTTCACATTGACTAAGTATGGCAAAGGATTTCTCCCTGACATTTCAGCTTTAAAAAAATCTAAAAAAGAATTGTATTCTAATAATAAAGCAAAAACTTGATTTTCCGAGTATTTTATTATGTTTTAATGTTGTATTCTTGGAAGTAAAGTGCTATATTGGTTTGGCTTGAACCATGCATAATAGCAAAGAACTAGGAAGTCCATGATGAAAATAGAATTTTTCACTCATTGAATTGAGAACCAAAAGATAATGAATCTAAGAACTTGGGCAAGTTTTTATTTTTGAACATTTTATCAAGGAGGGGAATTATTGACTCCTTTTGAGAATCTGGTGAAGATGCAAACATACATAAATGGATACAATCCTACATAATATTTTAGGGGATATGAAGACTTATTGGAGCTACAGTCCCCACTAATAGATAATAAAACCAAGAACTAGGTAATTCCTAAAGGATTTTGGCATTCTATGCTTCTAATATAATTTGCAAACATCTTGTCCTAAATTATTCTTTTGATTGTGAATTTTTTTTAATAATGTAAATAATAGCCTAACTCTATTACTTTATCCCTAACTTTTGACTTTGCCCATTGCAAACAAGATTCTTCTTAAGCCAATATTCTTTAGAACATCTTGGCACAAGGAATATTCTAATGTAATTATACTCTAAATAGTCATGTCTTGGGTAATTTGCTGTTACATCACCTGATTTGCTTATACATAAGGTCAAAAACCTGAGGTAATTTATTATAAACTAATCATTTATATTTTCTTTACCAAGGTTCACTGAATCTTTTAACCAACATTGATAATTTTCCATATTTGAACAATATTCAAATTAGCCTTGTAAAAATTACACAATAAAAATGATGATATATAAGTCAAAATACATAAGGCATCATAAGCAAATAATCTTTGGCAGATTTTCTTAGAAAATCATATTTTAAGCACATTCCTTTAGATTATTTAAGCTATTTGGTATGTTAAAATATTTATATGTAGCTCAATAAAATGTATAGTACACATGTTCAATGGGAGGAAACAATTGCTAAATTAGAAACATCTCACTCTGAGAAAATAGTGCAATAAAACTCCTAACTTAGATATTTTTTGGTCTGTAAGCTTTTTTGAATTTATATGCCATAAAAATATCATCTTTTAATGTTATAAAATTTGAAATTACAAAGTCGAAGAGAAGTATGTTAAGACAAAATGTATTTTGCCTTCATCTTTTTTTATACATTTGCTTTACCAAAATTGGTTTATGTATGCCTTTTCCATAAGCTGCAACTCTAAATGCTGTTTTTCATGAGAAATAAGCGGGAGCACATTTTATTAGTGAAACACACTAGAGTTTACTATGCAGAGTTGACCTATCATGAAAGTAATTTAAGGGGAAGAATAACATTAAATGATTGCTAGTCTCTAGGAGCTCATTTTCTAAATTATCCATTCAAAATATATTTGTTGAGCTACTACTATTCTGTGCCAAATGATGTTCTAGCCCTAGTTGTGCATCAATGAGCCAAAATGAAAAGAACTTTAGCTCATAGGTGTTTGAAGAGGTGGTGGTGGAGAGAAGAGGAAACAAACAAGCATACATGTAGAACACTGATAAGTACGATGAAGAAAAGTACAGCGTTATTTATAAGTTAGCAAAATCAACCGACTAAACATCAGGGAGCCCGAAAATTAGTTCTTAAAATAATATGGTAATATTTACTCTTGAGAACAGGTAAAAGAATTTTCTTTGAATCGTGGTCAATGTCCCCCCCTCCCACAACCCTAAACCATTATTCAAAGAGAACTAAGGGGACTAGATCCCTGAGGGGCCTCCCACGGTTCCCTCACTAGAACCCTCAGCAGAGGCTAACCCAGGTCTGCCGCCAGCCTTGACACGCTCCGTGTTTCTCCATACTCAGTGTTGCAGCCACATCGACCATGTTGTTGGTGTTTCTCAAACATATAAAGCTCCTTTCTGCCTCAGGACTTCACTCGCATGTTGTTCCACCTTGAATCTACCCCTTTACTCACTACCCCCAGCTCTCCACCCCCCCCCCCCATCCCAGCTAATTTGTAAAAGTGGTTTCTACGTGGAAGCCAGTTCCGGATGAGGGCGCCTGCTCTCACCTTCCTAGCATCGTTACCTGTCCTTTTTGGAACTTATTACAACTTAAGGAGTTATATAATGACATGGCTCTCTGTGCGTGCATTTACAATCTTTCTCTTTCACTAACCAGCAGGCTCCTTGGGGTGATGCGAGGGGGGGCTGAGGAAGCTTTTGCTTCCCTTTGCCAATGAACTTTCAGTCCTGCACGCTGCCCAATGCAAAATAAGGATTTAGAAAGTTGTTTTCTAAGAGAAAAATTGAATTTTCTTTAAAAATGTCATTTGTTTACAACTAATGGTTTATGCAACTCATAAACCATTGGTTTTATGCAACTCATGGCAAAGCAAGCCCTGGTAGGAGCTGATAATAGCCTTAAAACCATGTGACTGAGCAAATGAGGCTAGTTGACTCGTGTTTTTCAGTCTGTTATACACTGTTCCTGCCCCAGACGCTGCTGGAAGTCTACTGCTTGCTTGTAGGCTCATAGTCCCTATGACAGATGGTTTTTAATCTTCGCGATTTGGCTTCCAGAATGGGAGTGTATTTCTACCTCATGTATTCTTTCCAACATGTAGAAAATGAGTCTGGTTGGCTGTGCTTTCTGAGTAATCAAATACTTTTGCAGACCTGTAGCCATGGGAAAATGTTTAAATGCTTTCTGGCGGGAAAAACCACTTTATGCTTGGAATCATTGTTGATAAAAAGATCCAATTGTGAAAAGCCACAATTGTGTAAACCATTAAATATTGCAGGACTTTATTGTTTCATCACCTCATGCCTAATACTCTGAACGACATACACACACACACACTCACACGAACGCACATAAACACACAGTGTCAGTGACGTTTTCTACTTCTTTTGAAGTGAGAAATTAGAATTCTTCTTGAATAGAGGAGGGATCCTTCTTCAGTGCCTATCAAATCCTAAATCTCCATATGGCACTTACCAGTTTGTAGCAATACCCTATTTTATTTCTATTTCTGTCTCCCTGACTCTTTTTTCAGAGGCAAGAAACTATCTTTCCCTTTTTTATTCCCAAGATCTGGCCAAAAAAAAAGAAAAAGAAAGAAAGAAAAAAGGTCCATATAGACACTCAATTAATGTTTATTGACTGAATCATAGATAATAAATAAGTACGTATAATGGAAACAGCCTGAACTGAAGTCATCCATCCTTTGTCTATATCAGCCAGGCAGAATGGAGCTCAGAAGCCACTGGGGAACAATGCTTTTATATGCAGCACCTATTTCTTTAAACTAACAACTAGGGTTTTCCCAAACCTAGTCAACCTTCAGGTTTTCCTACGGGGATTTATGCCTTAAGGATTCTGGTCCATTAGTTGACAAATAGCAGCAGAGAAAGTATAAAATTCTGTTCAGAATATAGAGAAAGCAGCAGGGGATTGTGTGTGCCTTTATCTTGTAGTAGGAAGGCTTGAATCCTCAAATAACAGGGTGTTGCTACATTATCTTCCTCTGGAGAATTGAAACTGAAACGGTAAGGAGCGGAATGGTCTGATTAGTGTAAGAGCCACTGAAATATGCAGAGCCTCCATTCCTAATTGGGCTGACAAGATTTGGCTGATAACATAAAGCTCCCTCTTCTGTTTCTACACTTGTGAAAGAATGATGCCACTGTCCTTGGAGTTCTGAGACTTCATATTCTAAAGTCATTGTTTTAGAAAGCTCAAAAATGAGAAAGTAGGTTCTATATCCAAGAGTAGATAAATGCAATAAGCAGTACAGTAAGAAAACAGAATGAAAGGAAGGAGGAGAGAAAGAATGGAAAAGAGAGGAGAGAGGGACAGAGGAGGAAAGGACAGAAGAAGCAAGGAAGGAAGGGAGCTAAGAAAAAATTTGATAGAGCCCCTGCAATGTCAGGTGCTTTTGTATGCACCATATTTCAGTGTCCTGCCTAGGTCAATACATAGCAACACCTTTCCTTTTTATCAGCACTGTGGCACTGCTGTTGTTTATAAAGAGATTCACAAGTCAAAGAAGACTCAGTTTGCTTTTCAATAATTCTAAAAGGTAGGAGAACATTGCCAGAGAAGCATAGCACTTCAGTATCCTAACAAGGAGTCTTGTTAGCAAAACAAAGTGTGAATTGCTTAGAGATAATTCCCCCTGGTGGTAATTCCACTGGGAGCCTTCTGTGGCAGCACTTGCTGTTTCTCCTCTGCAGACCAATGCCATCGAACAGGATATGTCAAAAGAAATGTGAAAAACTCGATTTTTTGAGACATTTATTCTTCTAGATTTTTCTTTATGTCAGCATTATTCGCACATATTGATTCTTAGCCTGGAGCACCCAGCACAACCAGGAATTAAGGAAGCTAGAGCAGGATGTGAATAATGAATGGGCTGCATAAATAAGCAGAGCTCTCTATGCTCCGTTAGTAGTAAAAGCAAGTGCAGAGTTGCAGGCCAGCGTTGTGATGGATTATTTCTCGTATTCCCTCTCCAGGGAAAGCAGGAAAACGAGAACTAGCAAGAACTTGAGTGACAACCGCCTGGACTCAGATTGGAAGACTGTTCATTTGGCTATTGCTTCCTTCATTCCTGAAAAGTGAGCTGCACCTGTCTGATTAAGGTATTTGGAAAAAACAGAAACTTTGATATTTGTTGAGGACCATTCCCCATCTCTCATCCTTATACATATTTTTTTGAAATGTGGCAGAGTGGGGGAGCATTTATACATAGATTAGAGGTTTGTATCTCTTACTTTAAAAAATGGTTTTTTGCCCTGGCCCGTTTGGCTCAGCAGTTAGAGCGTCGGCCCGTGGACAAGAGCGTCCCGGGTTCAGTTCCCACTAAGGGCACGTACCTCGGTTGCAGTTTGTCCCCGGCTCCAGTTGGGGTCATGTGGGTGGCAACTACTCGATGTGTCTCTCTCACATCAATGTTTCTCTCTCTCTCTTCCTCCCTCTCTCCCTCCCGCTCTATCTGAAGATATATGCAAAAATGTCCTCGGGTGAGGATAAAAAAAATGGTTTTATGGCATTAAAGTAAATATCTTTTGCAGTTATTACTAGTATGAATGCCCTTGACGTGCTAGTTTAGTTAATGGGGCACTGGTCATTTATAGAACATGTTTGCTTTCTCCTACTTTCATTCTATACTTCCGCACATCCAAAGTTGTCATGGTTCATTATCTGTGAGTGATCCTGAGCAGCCTTGCGTTCTAAAAGAATATGCCATGGCATCTGCCTCTGTGCTTTTGAGCCCTGTTGTACAGATGATATCTGGGGCCGGGAGTGGGAGTGGAGGCAGAATTTGTCTCAGGCTGATGTTTCTTTGTACCATACTATGTCTTACTCTCATATATGCTTAATTCAACAATGAAGTACATATATCACATTGTGACTATTACATATGTTAGAGCACATAATTGGGGTTGTAACGTATCTGCTTGAATGCCTTAAATAATGAATTCCATCAAATCAGTTATCATTCTTAGACTCTTCATTAACCAATCAAATTGCTTCTTTGGCCTCAGTCATTTCTAACATACTTGCACTAGACATAAACACTATTCTATCAAGTAAATCGGAGGTCATTCAATTATCTCAGTGATCATTATTCGGAGTCAAGTGTTACTGACATTTTGAATTTCTAAAGAATTGCCTTTCACACTATCTCATTGTATACAGGAGAAACAATGTTATAGTGTGAGACTATCTGGAAGACTGTATTTCACTATCTGCATCTTAGGTTTTTTTCCTGAGGAAGTTGGCTCCAGTCAGTCTCCAACACTAAAATCATTTGGAAGTAAACCAACTGTACTCCTATGCACTCACCAACTTATTAAATCAATCTGTCCAGTAGGCTTATGGTATATTGCAAGTTCTTCACCTTTTGAGAATGAACTATTTCAATACTAGAATTTTCTACGATTTCTTGCGCAATATGTTACAACAGAACAGAATCACAGTTGTTATTGTTGAAACATGATTTTTCTAATTTTCATCATTTTTTTACACGGAGTATTAAAGTAAACAGAGTGGTCTGAAAATGTATATAATCTAAATCAAAAGTGCTTTCGTTTCCTAAGAAATCCTTGTCACAGTGCTGGTGGTTCTTTCGGGCCGTTCCTGATGAAGGGTGTGTGCTGACGCTCAGGCAGCCTGGCTCTTACAGCTTGTCACACACGTCCACATTGTCCTCTTCTACGTTGATGGCTTCTAGGAACAATTTCTTCTATTCTGCAGATATATTAAGAAATATCTCAATGTAGCCTGAAGTAAACCTACACAAATATTTATTTCTGGGCATCATGCCAGTCTTATTTAATCAGAATCTTTGGGAGTGGGCTCCAGAACCAGCATTTTAAGTATGTATACCAGGTGATTCCAAAGTACTTCAGAGTTTAAGAACCAGTGCTCTATACTATGAGAGCAAGGATACAGCTGAGAGGAAAACATAAAATTATTGACATGTAATTGATATCAAATCTACAAATATTAAAATTACATTAAGTTAGATTTGGATTCTTTTCCTACATATTTTTATCTGTCAGGACTGTACAAATGATTTTAGAATGTTCATTTTATTTTTGCTCTCATGTTAAATATTTTGAAATAAAAAATTCACTGTAAGGATGTCAAGGATATGAATGCCTATTAATTTAAAAGTCTCCTGAAGTCGCCAAATAATATAAATTATCTCTATTATAGTAAAAGGCATTACATACATAGTTTGTGCAATTCAGCTCTGTTTTCACATTTGAATCTTTAGTTTTACAAAGCTTTCTAAGTCATTCTTTCCACATTAGATATATGTAAGAAGCACCACTTCTTAAATAGCTAGAGTGTGAGGGACAAAGTGGTCTCGCTTAGGGGTAGCCATGCTGTATTAAACTAGCTGTTTAAGTAGAGAAGATGCTCATTAATGGTTATGTTCCTAACTCTGGGGAACAGGTATATTCGATGATTATAAAATTCGTGGATACACATAGTAGTCACACATCCATTGAGAAAGCATATGAATGGAGGAAATGTTCAAACAGAGACAATGAGCATGAACGTTAATTCAGGGAGCATCAGGGAATGGTGTGAAGACAGAGAACTGCCGAGTCTTGTAGTTTTCACCTTTTCTGTGTTACTCAACCCACCAACCTCATTTTCAAAAGAATTCTATACTCTGTATATTTTTAAAAGTTTAGCATACAGGATTTCAGCATATCAAACTTACCAAATTGCTGCATTTACCCATACAGTTGTTCCTTTAATTTAATACATATTTATTGAACACCTACTGTATTAGGCACTATGCTAAGTTTGTTACATTTACTGCAGAAATTAAACCACAAAGAACAGTTTGTCCTATTTGAATTGTAGTGTTTTCCATTTACCATTTCTCTTTATTTTCGTTCATTAAATTTGGATGGTTTGAGAGAACAGGCAGCATCTGTGGCTGGGGATGGAAGAACAGGAGTGTGACTAACTCAGGGAGTGAGACCCAAATAAGGACACATCTGTCTTATTCCTCCTCCTCTAGCCTTTGGATTTCAAGGAGGTATAGCAGCCCTAAGTAGAGTGCCCCCCACCCCATAGTCCTACTTAACGCAAAGAACAGGTGTTACAAGTGGAAAAGCAAACAACTATTTCCTCAATCTAAAATTCTCCATTCAAAGAAAAATTAATAATTTAAAAATGAGGGCCAATAATATATAGCATATCTTGATTTGATGTAAGCCACACCAATAGACCAATATGCAGTATAAACAACAGGAGTTTGGGTGTCATACTGGAAGAAGTGCCCATAATTCTTTATCAAATCTAATTTCCAGTAAAATAGAATAAAAAATTTCCAAAATCTCTATTACTATTTACAACAGTCATTTTGTAATTTCCCAAAATCCCTCTTTACCCTGGAAATTGCACTATTGCACTGGGGGTAGGGGTGAGGATTGAGGGTTGTGTTTTTTTTGTTTGTTTGTTTGTTTTTTTGAAGAAAGTTGTTAAGGGGGTTTTTAAATGTAAAAAACATTCCAATCTCAAAAAACAAATCTCAGAAGGATGGGGCGGTGGGGTGGGAAGAGATAAACCAAAGAACTTATATGCATGTATACATAACCAATGGACACAGACATTAGGTGGGGAAAGCAGGAGAGGGCTGGGAGCAGGTGGTGGGGGTCAATGGGTGAAAAAAAGGGGGACATCTTTAATAGTTTCAACAATAAAAAAAGAAAAAGAACAAAGGATAAGATGGAGTGTTGACAGCATTCAAATGAAAGTCTTAGGACAGGAATGATCAATGCTCTATTGAGTTATCTCAAAATAATTTTTCAGATTTTAAAAACTATGAAATCCTGGGCTTAGTAAGACTACAATGGTATCACCACTTGACTTGTGTGAATTTCCCAAATGCTTTTGCTCCCCTATCTATTTGAAGTGATACTTCAAAATTGCCTGACCATTGCTATATCACCAGATATCTTCCCATATAAATTTGATGTTCCATACAGTTAGGTTTCCACTCAGTGTCTTTGTTTCCTCCTTTCCCTTGGCCCAACACATCTTGTTCATCAGGAAGCCTGGTTTCACACATTTATGTATGCAACAGTACTTTATTAAGCACCTTCTATGACAGTCTCTCTTCCAAACCCTCTGTGCAGACTCCTGCTCTCAAGAAGACTTCATTTTAGTGGAAAGGCAAACTGTTAACAAGGAACAAATACATAAATGTTTAAACCACTAAAATACTGGTCATCTAAGAACTCTAACCACATTCTTCTCTACCTTTTCTCCTCCAAATTTTATGTACTCAGTGATTCTACTGCTCATTTTAATCTCATTATTACTGTTGTCAACCACACACTAAAATCAATCTGATCTACTTATTTTAACTTTTTTAAGGCTTTCCATCTTCTTAAATGGAAAGGACAAGGTATGCATAAATTTACATATTAGATAAAGCTGACTTGCCTGAGAAATGTAATCTATATAGATAGGCCTAAGTAATGGGGTGGGGGTGGTGGGGAGGGTTACACAGTGGCCATTACAGAATCAAATACCCACAACCCAGGCCTCAAAGACATCTTTTCTGATCCTGAGATTTTTTTGTTAAATTTTATTTTCCAGTGACTGGACGCCCTATTCTGGGACACATCAGAATAAATTTTTTGCTCTGTTGCACTGCCTGTCTGTCAAAGTAACTTTAATATGGATTAAGTTGGATTAGCCACTTCTAAATTCAATAGAGTTTGTGTGTATCTAGTCAAGATAAAAAGAACAAGCATTGTGATAACAGGAAGGAAATTATTTCATAAAAGATACTGGCTATAAAGCACAAAACAGATGATAAACAATACATAGCAACTAGAAGTTTATTTAGTATTGGTTAACAGTTTAGTTATTGTTGATTTATGTTTTTTATTTGAATGTATTTTTTTTTTTTTTTTGCCAATTGTTGGGCATTTAAAAGATTCTTCATTTGCCATACGTTTACCCCTTAAGTTATTTGTAGCAAAACATACCTTGAACATGTATGCCCTGGAGAATAATAAGGTTCAGAGGAACATGGGAAGAGAACTGGATATCATTCTATGAAGAAACAGAGCCAAAGTAGGAAGTGGATAAAATAGATGAA